TTCTTGGACTTTGTAGCAGTTTATTATAGAGGTTTCAGATAATCATCAGTGTTCTTCATAAAAACAGTAAAGGAGTGAAGTAGTAGTGTGTCTGTCTTGCTCAGACTGGCCTCTCATGGAGCATTGAGTTGTTTTCCTGCAGTGCTTGGGGTTGAATCCACCGGTGCTTTACCACGGAGCTACACCCCAACCCCTTTTTTATTTTGAGACAGGGTCTCACTAAGTTGCTGAAGCTTGTGATCCTCTTGCCTTAGCCTGCTACGTTGCTGAGATTACAGGCATGCACCACTGCATCCAGATGTCATTGAGTTTTGTTAAATTGATTTGGATTTGTTTGGGTTTTTGGTTTTTTTCCCTCTCTTCTCTGTTTCTGAATATACCACTACCAATGTAATCATTATCACAAAAAGAAATGGTGATCTACCTCTGGGATTTTTTTTTCCCCTTCTTCTTGCCAGAAAGAGAAATAAATTGAATACCTGGATTTCATTTTTAGTGATTCTGAAGAATCTTCCAATCATTTTTTATTTGTGTTTTTGTTTGATTTTGATCCAAGAGCTATTCTAATAGGAACCATTGAGGAGGGAAAATGTTTGATAAGTAATTCTGCAAGGCAAAGGCCTATCACACCCTCCTCTGACTCTCCCCTGAAGTCTCCCCAAGAAAGAGACTCAGGTAAAATGCTCATGAGTTTCTTGTGCACAAGGGGTTATAAAAAGGTACTCACACCTGTCTCCTCTCAAAGGTAGAGATCATATTTTAGTCACCTGTTTCCCTCACTTTTTTTTTTAACACCAAGTTGAATAGTCAGAAATATGAAATGGGTTTATGACCACTTTAACTATCAGACCATTTCAGCAGAATGTTTTCTAATAATATTTTTCTTAAAGCTTAATTACAATGATTCATGATGTCAGTTTTCAAAAACCCCTGCAAGAGGGAAAGTGAAATAGCTGAGTCTCTGGACTGTTCAAAGGTAAAGGGAGGGGAAAACAGAGAGGTTTTGATAAGTTGAATGTGAGACTGAGAAAGATCCACACATTTTTCTTCTCATAATTGTTTGCTAAATCCACTCTTGGTATGAGAAAGCACACATTTCTAATGATTAACGTTCTGGGTTGTGGGAAGTTGTGCCTGATAACAATATGAGACTTGTATTCCTCATGCTCTGGTCTATAATACCAATATAAATAGTTTCTCTGATAAATAACTATGTTTCTGAGATAAGTCCTTCCTTTTATTGCAGCTGATAACCCAGGATTATGTGAGGTAGTATTGCTAACTATTAGTGAGAGGTTTTGATATATAAGGGCATTTGTATCCAGTTGGTCCCCCTCCTGGATTCCCCAAATGCAACTCCAAATTGCTCATTACCAGTATTAGCATCCAGAGAATTGACTTAGAAGGAGTGGATTATTTTCCCCCCTCTTCCTCTTGGCTTCAATCATTTAAAATATGTTTTCTAAAGAAAAAATATCTTCAAAATTGCCAGCACTTCTTATGCAGGGAGAGGGAGCAAGCCAGCCATCATACTTGCCTGTCCTTTTATTCATAGCACTGCATAAAAACCATGTCATACAAAAGCCCTGCAAAGCTGCACACTCACCAATTTCAAGATAACATAAAATATCACATAATCAATTATGGAAAATAATGAAATGGAATGTTGGCGTGGAAAACCTCCTCAGAGAGTGTTCAAACAAGGAATCAATTGCTCAAGAGGGGTGTTGAAATTACAATCAGTCAAGAAGTCTTTACCAAGGGCCAGCCGTGGGTGTGAATCTGCAGGGCACGTGTGCGAAGGGTCAAAGTTAAGTTGCTGGTGTGTTCACAGCCATGCACGCATTATCATGCCACAAACACCAAGGGAGGCGCTTGCTTATCTGGTGGGCTTGGATATACAGGGAAAAGGTAGAAATGATCCAGTCATTTTTTTTTCCCTTCATTTAACAAGCATGTATTAAGTGCCTCTTCTCTTGCCAAGCACTAAGGAAGGCACTTTTTGATCTGAAGCTTCAAGGGAAGGCAGACAGATAACCAACTGCAGTACTTTGTGAAAACAGAGAAATCATAGGAAGCCCTCTCTTGGAAACACAGGGAGAAATAAGGACATGAACAGCACAGCATATAAGACAAAAAAGTGAAGTGCTAATTATAGGAAGGAGATGGAGTCCATTTCCTCTGTTCTGGCAATTTCCAAAGAGCAGAACAACTGGGAAACAGGCAGATTGGCAGTGTATCCTCAACATTCTAAAAGGCTGGGAAGCTAAGTTCTTGTAATTTTTTTACATTAGTTGTGGCACTTTGTTACCAGTACTATTTCTGTCACATTATGTATGCAAGATAGGGAATGGGGTTGGGGACGTAAATGAGGAGAGGCCTCCAAAAAACAGGCTTCTCAATGTTCACTAAACTTTTCTTCTTTTCTTCATGGCCCCCAGAGTCTCCTATCTCTTTCGTTTTTCTATCTACAGCACAGGGATAATAAATTTTCTTTCTGTCCTTAACTGGAATCTCCTTTATGCATCCATAAATGGACATTGGAGTCTATATTCTCCACCCATCTGGAAATTCTGTGCAGCATTAACGTGTGGTTATTGTTTCTGGAGAGATTATCTCAAAGTACAGTATTTTGTGCTTCCCTGAAAAGAGCACTAAAGAAATAACCTAAGCTTCATATCACAAGAAGAAAAAAAATGAATGCAACCAAATTGCCATAATAGACTGATAACTTTCAAATAAGAGACTGATAGTGATGAGAATATAATAAAACTCAGAAGCCAAGTGCACTTCGTTTTTGAACCCACCCTTTAGCATCTGAGAGACAATTCCAGGAATCTGCTCTGGATGTGATGACATGCGTGTTGCTGGGACACCAGGCCATGGCTTAGTGTCCTGCTGGGGTCACCTGTTGGCAGAGAACAGTTAGGTAGATCCACATAAGCTGCTGCTCAGAGCCTGACCTGGAACAATCCACAGTGCTCCGGAGATGTTCCTCTTAAGAAGGACAAGAACTCCCACGGTCAGCTAAACTGCTCACCAGGGTTTGGGTGCCATCCTCCCCCACAGGAAGAATCACATAAAGGCAGGGACTGTATTTGTTCACTGTTTTATCCAGGGCCTGGCACTTAGATTCACCCTAAGTGGCTCTCAAATCATCATCATCATCATCATCATCCTCCACAGGGGTGGATGCATTTTGTGTATCACAGAGCTGCATGATAGCTGCAATACATGCAATTACCTTTTTTTCTTTCGATTCGGAACTATGTGGTCTGTCAGCTGGGAGCCGTTGTTTGTTGGTTCTTCATTTGTGTATCACTGTAGATTTTCACCAAGGACTCTCTGTTTATTATCTCATCTTCTCGTCATAACAAGACCCACTTTATACATTTTTAACCAAGAAAATAAGGCTTGAGAATTATATGGTTTGGCCAAGCCCTCATAGCTGGAACCTGTAGAGCTGTGGCCTCAAATCCTTGTTTCTCCTCAAAGCCTCGGTGTTCTCCTGAATGTGTTCACTGTGTCCTGGTCCAGTGGAAGCATAGTTCACCACAAGGTCTGACCACTGCTAATGTATCAGTGGCAACTCTCTGGAGTCCCATTGGATGGCAGCTTAAAATGAATTTGTTAAAGTGAATTATATTAATTTGACTTCGAAAATTCTAGGACCTCTTGATGTGATTTGGAGACGGCGTATAATTTGAGCAGGAGAAAGAAAATTCTTCAGGCACGCCCCTTTGTCTTTCTTCGACCCCATTTTCCCACCTGAATATTGAATATAATGATACCAGTTCTAACTGGATAATGCAGAAAAACTCTTTAAAAAATTATACAACATGTAAATGTCAGGCTTTGGTGTTTTTTCTTTGATTTTACTTTTTGGTTCTGGAGATTGAACCCAGAGACACTTCACAACTGATCTACATACCCAGCCCCTTTTTACTTTTTTTAATTTGAGGCAGGGTCTCCTTAAATAGCGTAGGGCCTCATTTAATTTTTGAGGTTGGCCTTTAACTTGTGATCCTCCTCCCTCAGCTATGAAGTTGCTGGGATTACAGAAATGAACCACCATGCCTGGCTTTTATAAATGCTAGGTCAATCAATATCCAAACATGGGCACTGGATTTGGGTGTACAGCAAGGTTTTTGATTGGTATATATTACAACAGGAAGAGTGAACTGTTCCAAATAGCCATGGAAATGGATCCGTTTGCTCCCCATATTGAGACATATATGTGGACTCTACGTGAGACAGATGTGTATTTGTGACTGAAGACTACAGTTCCCTGGAGGGCAAGACATGAGTAAAATGCCCATTATAAGCCAGCATTTTTGATCTTCATGGTGATCCAGATAAAGGAGAGAGTAGTTCTTGACCTGTTTTTTTGGGTAAGGAAACAAATTTAGAGAGTTGGTGGGGAAATCATCTAAATCATAACAGCAGATGCAGGTTAACACCAAGAATAGGCGTGTGATGGTTCTGTCCAGGGTCTAGCACAATTAGGATTGTCGGTGAAAACCCGTGAAAAATAGTGGCAGTGTGCTCCTATCTGCGAGAGTCCCGTGGACTGTCATCCTAATTTTTGTTTCTATAAATCCTCTCATTTTGGCAGCTTGCTAATGTTTATATATGATTTCCAGCTCAGTTTAATGTGTCAACCTTTAGATCTGGCTATTTGGGGTCATCTCATGGGGTGTATGAGGACAGTCCCAGGCAACCGTGCCTCTCACAACCACTAGCTCTATTCATGCTAGATGGACCAACCTAATGGAGTACCTCATTGATCACAAGTACTTGGCATAAGTATTTGTTTCCCATCAAGTATTTGTCTAAACAAAAATAAGCATTTTCAGGAGAAGTGATGTAAATTCTGAGCATCGTACCTTAGTGAATACTGGTGGAGATTTCTTTGCTTATTGTTGTTCTCTTACGTGAAAAATTTATGCAAAAACACAAAGGTAGTAAATAACTGCCCTCCCCCCTTTTTTCTATTACAGGTTGATGACCAAATGAAGCTGCTTCAGAATTGCTGGAGTGAGCTCTTAATCCTCGACCACATTTACCGACAAGTGGTACATGGAAAGGAAGGATCCATTTTCCTGGTTACTGGGCAACAAGTGAGTGTAGAGACCAAAAAAATAAAAAAATAAAAATAAAGCGCATCTTTTTATTAAGCATGTTCAGCATGGCAGGAATTTAACTAGATCAGAAGCACTCTTGTGCTTTGAAAGGGAGAGATTGGCTGCCAATAATTTAGAAAAGATGACTTGGTGCACTCAGTTCCTGCTCTGATGATTACAGATAAACTTGTAAAAGCAAACATAATCATAAGCATTCTGCTGCTTCTAGTCTGCAGGGATGGAAAGTTCTGCTTCTAAGGGTCAGAACAATTGCTCAATCAAACTCGGTGATTAGTACTGTTTTTTGTTTTGTTTTGTTTTTTCCTCGAGCTTCTACATTAGCCTACTATACTTGTGTGTTATTTAAAAACCTTATAAATTGTAGAATCCTTACCTTTGTTGGAACAGGTTGATTCGAATGTCACATGTAGTTGAAATATTCGACATAAAGGCCAGTATGGAAAAGGGACAGGAGTTCCAGTTTTCAGGAGCCAGATGTCCAAGAACAATAGAAAGGAAAACATAACCATCAGGCTTTTACCCCTATTCTGAATAGCTATTTTTTCAAGTAAGAAGGAAATATTGAGCCCTTTGCAATGACACACTCCTGTAATCCCAGCTACTCAGGAGGCTGAGGCAGGATAATATCAGGGTCTAGGCCAGTCTGGGCAATTTTTGAGACCCTGTCTCAAAATTAAATGAATAAATAAGTAGGTAAATAAGGGCTGTTCCGTGTCACTCAATGGAAGAGCACTTGCCTAGTATGCACAAGGCCCAGGTTCCATCCCCAGAATTGCAAATAAAATAAAAAGAAAGAATATTTATTGAGCATCCTACTTGGTGCTAGTCACTATTTTGAGGCTTTGACCTGTTTCCTGTCCTTGTGGAATTTTATGCTATAGCAGGGAGAAGCTAATAATTAACAATAAATAATCATGATAAATCGGGAATGTTAGAGTTGAAAGTATTATCAAAGTAAAGACCTCCTACCCTCCCCCCCCCCCCCAAAAAAAAAAAAAGAAGAAGAAGAAACCAGTAGGTAAGGTGGAATGAACAAGCATCCATGCCATGGGTTGTGATGTTAAACAGAACGATTGTTTCAACCTTATTGAGAAGGTGACATTTGAGGGAACACTTAAAGGAAGAGAGAGGGGCTTGTAGATATCTGGGGAAAGAGGAACTGCCTTAGTGGACCTAATTCCAACTTGATAAAGATATGGGCAAGTCCCTCCAGTCTCTTACCTTCCACTTAGAAACTGATGGATCAATAAAATAAGTCCACGGAACCCTGGTTCCTCCAGCCCGTGGGTATACCTAGGCAGGACAGCAGCGCACCTTTCAGCCATGGTGACTTCAATACTCAGGCACCGTGATCTTTTACATCCCCATAAATGTTTATGTGCTGTGAAACCACAGCGGTGCATATTTGAAAATGAAAGGCTGTCTCCACACCATTTGCTGTATTATTAATAAATCACATGTTCCCAATCAAATTAAAGGCATGCACTACTTCGGTTTTTGCCAATTGGATCAATTCAACCATCTCCCTAGCTATTGGGTCCCCACTTTCTGTGCCTCCCAAGAGAAAAGCTTTCCAGAGAAGAAAATGCTCTGACTCCCTGTGCTTTTGAATGTTTTTGTTTAGCACTTGTGTCTCGTGATCCAAGTCTTTGAAGGAAATGTACCCATTTTCAGAGTCTAAACACAAGGTGTGCCTCCCACCTCCTGACCAACTGGGAGCTGCATTAGAAGGACAAGACTCGGCTCACAAAATGTAATTCGATTTCATTTCCTTCAGAGTTTCAAGAAATGAAATGGGTTTCATCCCTGCTCTTTAGAAATATTCCTTATTTCACATTTCATTCTGCCTTAAGTGCTGCCCCTGGTAAAGGTAATTACCATTTAAAAAGTAGAGAAAGTACATGTCTTGCCTTTCTGATTTTCAACACCCAGAAAAATCAAGGGATAAATAAAATCAGAGTCTATAGTCTGTTATTTCTGCCTTGTATTTGGCAATAGATCTGGAGGAAGGGACTCCCTGGCTAAAAAACAGTCTCCCTAGCACCTTTCCCTGCAGCCCACATTTTTCTGCTGCCCTGTTTGAAACATGTCAGAGTCTATCAAAGTTCTTCCCTGTGCTTTTTCCTCCAGTCTAAGTGAATAGCCTAATGCTGGTTCATTATAATCACACAATCTCGTTTTGATGGTTATGGAAAAAAAAAAATCTTCTCTTCTGTCATGGAATAGACTGGAAAAGGCAGTTAGAACGTGTCTGGGATTCCTGCAGTGATAGAGTAGAAAACCACAGTGCTACCAAGAAAGACTTTTCTAGAGCACATACCTCATTTAACAGAATGAGAAGAATGCCTCAATTTTTTCCCCCTTTTTTTGGTGCTAAGTATGGAACCCAGGTCCTCGTGCATGATAAACTTAAACTACCACTAAGCTACATCTTCAGTCCCAAGAAAGATATTTGAATTCAGAGTGACAAACGCATATTTATTTTATATCCCTATAGTTCCTCCTATAATATCAAATATGGTAAGTATGTGATAAATATTAACTAATTTCACTAAATGAGGACTATCCTATCTCTAACCTGAATGCTTAAATAAAACAAGTTAAGTAGGACTCAAGACCCAGAGTATTCACCCTCCCCATTTTCTACATTTCTCTTGTCCCCTGTCTTCCAACTAGTTCTCATGGATCAGAGACACCAACAATTCTTTCCCAACAATAAATCTCCTTTTCACTATGATAGACCGCTTCCTACCCTTTGGCCCAGAGAGATAGGTGAAATTCCAAGTTTAATTTTCTTAAAATGGTATATATTTCCTAATGGCAAAAGCAGGGAAGCTAGATTTTTGTTAGAATAGCACCAATAACTGTAATAATAAAATATCTTATGTGCACCAATTTTAAGAAGATGGTTTATACAATGATGGAAGGAAGGAAAGGAGTATATAATAAGTGTCAGAGTAAAGTGATATTCTGGAGAAAAAAAGTATTTCAAAAAACATGGAAGAAACTGAAGGAAGGAAATAGAGAACCACATACACCATTGAGTTTGTAGTCTAATCACATGTGAACTATAGTGTATATTTATTGCAGAGTGCTTTTTGGGTATTAAAAAAGTGTGGGGGGCGGGGCTGGGATTGTGGCTCAGTGGTAGAGTGCTCACCTAGCATGCGTGATTCACTGGGTTCGTTCCTCAGCACTACATAAAAACAAAATAAAGATATTGTATCCACCTGTAACTAAAACATAAATATTTTTTTAAATGTGTGCATGCATTTGCATGCACACATGTGTGCAGAATACCCATATGCAGCCTGGGATGAAGGCAGAACTCCTGTCCAGAACTTACTAGCTCTGTCCTGTTGAGCAAATGCCTTTACTTATTCAAGCTTCATTGTTGTCTCTTGTCCAGTCAGGATTATAATGGTATCTCCATGACAGAACTGCACTAGGAATCACCGGAAATAGTTTTGTAAAGTGCTGATGTAAAAACTTTAATCAAAACTAGTGTAAGGGTTGAGGGTGGGGCTCAGCAGTAGAGCCCCCACCCAGCATGCAGGGGCCCCTGAGTTTGATCCTCCCTCCACAAGCCTCCCCCAAAAAAGAAAACTAAAACACTAGGCAGACACGAGGCTGACATTTATGAACACAACAATTGTAAGAATAAAATATTATCATCCCCTTTTTTGCAGATAAAGAACTGAGGCCACGGGAGGTGGAGTAGTTGATTCAAGGTCAAAACACAAATCATAAGAGGGAGAATAGAGATTCAGATCCAGGCAGGCTAGTACCATAGTTTTTGTATGGTTTGGGGTTGTTATTGTTTTTGAGGTGGCAATTTCACCATGTTGCCTTAGATGTCCCCAAACTCCCCAGATCAAGTCATCCTCCTGCCTCAGTCTCCCCAGTAGCTGTGACTACAGATGCACATCACTGTGCCTGGCTTAGAATTTGTATTCCTAACCAACACATCATTTTATATATATATATATATATATATTCAATTCATTGTTGATGGACCTTTATTTTATTCACTTATTTATATGTGATGCTAAGAATCAAACCCAGCACCTCACACATGCTAGGCAAGTGCTCTACCACTGAGCCACAACCCCAGCCCCCATCCCACTTCTTTGGGTCATTCCCAGATGCTACAGAGCTTGCTTTTACCACAGGCCTTTAATTTGGTCTTTGTGAATAACTTTAATGCATAGCAGCCTTTATACACTGAGAGTCATCAGTGGCACTTCCAAGCAAAACAAATTCATCTCCCTTTTATAGAAGCTAAATACATAAACATTTGTGTTCTTTGTTTTGGAGGGTGGTGCTGCAAATACATTGTAATATAGTAAATTTAAATTATCCAGAAATAACTTTAATGTGATTACTACTTACTATTATAAAATTATTTCAGCATTAAGAAAAATATATTTTTTTCTTTTTTTGGTACTGGGGATTGAACCCAGGGACACTTGACCACTGAGCCACATGCCAGCCCTATTTTTTTGTATTTTATTTAGAGACAGGCTCTGGCTGAGTTGCATAGGGCCTCACTAAGTGTTAGAGGCTGACTTTGAATACTGTATCCTCCTGCCTCAGCCTCCCAAACTGCTGGGATTATAGGTGTGTGCCACTATGCCAGGCAAAAATATTATTCCTAATGCCACTGCCCTAAAATCATCATTTTTGTTAGAATTCTCATTCAGTGTTTGGAAACTTTGTGTGTGTGTGTGTGTGTGTGTGTGTGTGTGTAATAAGAGCTTTCCTTACTTTCTAAAATGAATTAAAATAATCCACCATGGAGACACATTGACCTAGTAGCATGGATTTGTGTGGAGTGTGAACTTTAAAACAATGTAGAAGTCTGTGCCCATGATGTATTGCATCAAGACCATGACACTGATATCACTGTGGGGGTTGGGGGGTGCACAGAATGGCCTTATGCCCATAAAGCATGCAAAATTCCCCTACCAGCAACTTAGCTAACACCCATGGAACAGGTGAGGAAGGAATTTTTTTATTAAAAATATTTCTAGTAGTCTGATAGACAAAGGGAAGTCAAAAGGTGTGAGTGGAGAAAAATTCAACACAGCCCTAGAGTCAAAAGTGATAAGAAATGTGATCCCTCTATCTAATTAATGACTGCAGGGACTGCCCTTTGCCTGGGGCCTGGCACTGTGCACTTTCACAGGTAAGCCCCATGACATGGACTCAGATAAGGTGCATTGAAGTTCAGAGGAGGAAGTACGCAGGGACCAGCCAGCCATTCAAAGTTATCCGGATGATTCAGCTTCTATAAGGAAGCGCCTTGCCCCTAACACCAGGCTGTGAGATTATACTGTCCCCACAAATAAAGGAGAGACAACGAATTGCTGGATAAAACTTTAACTAAACTCGTACAACCTTTTCCAGCCTCACCCAGGAGAGAGTACACCCAAATCACTCATTATCAATTTTTAGGTTTGCATATGGAATTTTTCTCCTTTTTTTTCTTTTAAAAAATTTTTTCCCCAGTTTTCTTGTAATGATTACTTCTGGAACAATTGAAAATGTTTATTTTGAGTGTTTTAAGACTAGTGAATAGTAATATTATACACGCCTCAGTCCATGATATCACAGCCAAAAGACTTGCCACAAGGAAATTCCAAACAGCAATTTCATGTCACCTTGAAGCTTGTATGTGATGTCTGTACATGGCTTTAGAGCAACACTCTTAGACAGACTGAGGGATGCAAGTCCCCAGGTGCTCCACAGCCCAATCTTTTGGCTTTTCCCTGCTGAAAAAATAATGTGGGGAACTTACCACAGCAGAGGAGTGGAGGGGAATGGAGATGTACCTCCATGGTAGAGGGCTTGGCTAGCAGGAGTAAGGCCCTGAGTTTAATCCCCAGAACCCCGGTGGGAAGGAAAGACAGAAGGACAGAAGGAGGGCAGCGAGGGATTCTCAGGAAGAACTGCTACTTGGAACTTGAAGAAAGAGGCAAATTAGAAAAAGGAGCACAACTTTCCTCCTAAGCGTGGTGACTAGTGAGTTTTCTTGTCGATTGTTGGCAGAATCCAGGTCTCCTGTGTGTATTCAGAACTGAAGTAACTGAAATAGCGCCTCAGAGAGGGTCCAGGACACAACCCCTGGCGCTGAAATGAGGATTCCGTGTTTCCCACTAAGTTTTTTACTTAACCTTAAAGTTTGCTACTATGTTTTAATTGCATTTTTAATCACGCATGTATTTAACTTTATTAGACAAAAAGGAAGCAATGATCATTAGTAATAATCGGCGCTGTCAAATCAACAACCAATACATAGCATTAGCATTTTATGAGACGAGTTCCTTCCTATTCAGTATTTTTAAAACACACACACGTAATCGTGTATATGTAACATAAAATAGAATAGTTCAACATGGGGTCAGATTTGAGTATTTGCATATTGTAACTAATTAACAGCCACTGTAACCTCATCCTAAGGGAAATGTCTACTGTTACTATCTTTGATTGTTGTGTATCATATTAAAATGACAGGCATCTTACAACATACAAGTCATCACAATTTTGGAGGTTAGAACTAAAAGCAATTTAGCTAAAACTGTTTCTACCTTCATGATAAATGAAATTTTACTCAACAGGGGCATCGGTTTAGAGTATTTTTTCAATATCTCCCTTGAATTTAATGGCACAAAGATTACATGTAAGAGAGCAATAAATTAATTTTACTAAGTACATAAAAGACAAGGCCAGCTGCTCGTGAAATGAGCACAAACTCTGCATTCAACAATGAAAATATAATTATGTTTGTAATAAAATATAAGGAAGTTGCAGATCTCTGTGCCGTTTCGGGGATAAATCAACCATCCTCCTTCAGAACTGTGCAATTTGATAAATTATCCTTGAAAGAAGTGTTATTGGAGCCCTCATTTAATAAGCATGTTTGAGCTTTCAAATTAGCATGTAAATAAATGTAGGGCAATAAAGTTGTTGGTATGCCAATTGATTTCCTGAGGTCCCTCTCAGTAGAGGTCTCTCACTAAATATATAATCCCAAGAAACAATTTAGATTCCTTTCAGTTATAGTATATTTTCAAGTATGAATTTCTAGTATTTGAATTTAATTATTACAGTTCTGCTGGAACTGTACATGCATCAAAAATGTCATCAACCCATCTTTTTTTTTTTTCCCTATAGGGTCCCACCCTGTTACCCATGCTGGCCTTGAATTTTGATACTCCCACCTCAACCTCCCAAGTAACTGGGATTACTGGCATGTTAATCACATCTCAATATAAATTAATTCATATTACATATTTGTACTTTATTTAACATGGTATTCCTGGTTTAGGGCTTAAATAATGATTTCTATTAAAATATACTTTGACCAGGCACATTGACACATGCCATAATCCCAGCTATGCTTGAGGCTGAGGGAGGAGGATCATAAATTGGAGGCCAGCCTGGGCAACATACCAAGACCTTCAAAGCAAAAAGGGCTGAGGATGTAGAGTGGTGGTAGGACACCCTGGGTTCAATCCCTAGCATTGACAAAACAACACCCCCCACACACACACACACACACACAGCACATTGTATGTATTCTGCTACTGTCACGGAGCATTCAGTTAGTTCTTAGCCTAAATTGGTACTATTATTCCAACTATGATGATTTCTTACTAATCATAAAAGTGAGAGCCACCTTATCATCATCTCTCTTATCAGCCTTATTTGAAGATGAGGAAAGTAAGGGATGGAGATGTTGTCCGATTCACCCAAGACCTCTGTTTTTAGAGGGCAGCATTGAACCAGGTAGCGTCTTGTCTCAGGTTTCTTCTACCTCTCACCTCATGGCCTTCCGCCTGCTGTTGAATCATCTAGCCCAGTTGTCTCTGTGGAAGTCCTATTATAGGTTAAGTATCCTTTATATGAAATGCTTGGAAACAGGAATCATTTAGATTTCAGATTTTTTTTTAAGATTTTGGTATATTTGCATATTCTTAATGAGATGTCTTGGGGCTAGGACCCCCGTCTAAACAGGAAATTCATTGGTTTCATACATACATAGCCTGAAGGTTATTTTATACAGTATTTTTAGTGACTTTTTGGTTTGGCTGCAACTCATCATGTACACTTTCCATTAATGGTGTCACTTGGAATTCAAAGGATTTCAGATTTTGGAGCATTTCAGACTTTAGATTTTTGGACTAGGGATACTCAACCCTATATTATTACCTAACCAAATAATTGTCAGGCATCATCACTTTGCACGCTAGGAAAATGCTCCCACTGTGCTCTATAGAGTTCGACAGCTTGTCCTGTCTTCCAGCCCTGGTACTGAACTTTTCTTTCCCACATTTGGAGTTCTTAGGACAGATGCTCGCCCACGGATGGATACAGCCGGAGGACAGTTTGGTGGTTGATGCACGAGATTCCTAGAACACACTTTAACTGTGGCTTTTTCATGCATAGTTGACTATCTATAAACTGATTGACACCTTTGGGGGTCATCTTTCCACTGACTCATAATTTTTCTCACTCTTGAAAAAGGTTTCTGTACACCTAGTATTCTCTAGTTAAACCTGAAAATTCAACTCATCATATTTACACAATAAAAAAAAAAATCCATTCTGCCTTGTTTTTAATTGCAAATTCTACTCAAGGGACTAGTTCTCCTGCTTAGGAGGCAGCCCCGTGCCTTCTCCTAGAGAAGCAAGTGCAGTCAATTATGGTAATGAAATGTCAATAAATATAAAAATTTAATACAGTCTGCTCTGGGTGAGTGGCAGATGAGGACTTGCCTCCCAGACAAATTTGCTGCTGCTGCAAATATTAAATGCACCTAAAAGAGTATCTGGTTGCCTGAGAGCTCTTCAGGAAAACAAGGACTGGAACTGCAGGTACCAACTGGGCTTTCCCATTATGCTGTAAACGAAGCAGCACAGCCAGTACTTCCACTGACAGCCAGCCCAACATCTTAACTTATTATAAATGGAGCTTCGCATGTCCCCATGAATAATCTAAGATCGGTGCCTTGCCGTGCTTTTCTTTTTAACGAAATGGGGAATATGCTATTTCTATTTTGTTTTCCAGACGAGGGAATTATTCTTGCAAATAAGGTCACTGCTGTCTTTAGAGAGAGAGATGTATTCATTTGACGGCATCTAATGTGATCACCTGAAACTAGCAGGTTTATGTCATAGCGTTTAAGGAAGCAGCATGCTGGAATACTTTAAATGTGATTTTATTATTATCATTACTATCATTATTATTATTTTGTTATCCACAAGCAATCTTGAACTAGGATTATGTTCAAATGTGGTCTTAAAATACAGAGAGAATGTGAGTCAGCCTATATTTTCCTCATGTACTGGTCATTGTCATGGTGTACAGATAGAAAGCTGTATGTACAGTATAATTTTTTTTCTTTCAACTTGAGTTAAAATATTTTCTGCGACAATATAACTTTATAAGAGAAAGAAGGTATATACACTTGTAAAATGCAGGCTATCAAAACCTGTTTCCTACAAAGCTCATCAGCGTGATTAGATGTAACAGATTAATTGCGATTCATTTTATGATAATAGGCCGTGTCTCAAGCTACCTTCAAGGGGAAAGCCCTCTTTGGTATAAGTGTGTGTTGCAGTCTGATTTTACCCACGATGCTTAACAATCTCAAGTGAAATGTGTATTTCTGATCCTAACATTCATGAAAACTGTGTTGCAGGTGGACTATTCTATAATTGCATCACAAGCCGGGGCCACCCTCAACAACCTCATGAGTCACGCACAGGAGCTAGTGGCAAAACTTCGCTCCCTACAGTTTGATCAGCGAGAGTTTGTGTGTCTGAAATTCTTGGTGCTCTTTAGTTTGGGTAAGCAATCCTTTTCTCATGCTAAACCACCAAACATCACTCAATGGTGCCCAATGCCAAGTCAATATGTTTTTCTAACACTAAGATGATGCCTTTCCATTCAAATCATGAAATCTTCCTACATGAATATATATATATATATATATATATATATATATATATATAGCCACAAAAATATATATTTCTACTTGATTCCTCACCCTTTACTGAGAGGAGCAGAGATGCTAGTCAAAGCCACAACAGAAGGCAAAGATGTGTGGTCTCAGATTTTTGCCATCTTCCTGCCGTTGAGCAATCCATGTGCCTTTCCTTTTGGCTCGCTACCTATTGCATCTTTTATTCTTCTAACATGTGGATAGTAATTAAAAGCCTGTTTTTTTAAATCTCTATCAGGATTAACGAGAGCATGTTTATAACCAGATGCTGCACTATGCAAGCATAAAGGATGACAGTTGTCAAGGGGAAAGATGCTTCTTTAGAAAGCTTTAGAGAAGAAAGATAACTAAGCAAGACAGATTAGCTAAATCAAGGTTCTCAGTGAGCCAGTTGAGAAAAATCACCACTGCTTGGAATAAAAAAAGGATTAAGGAGATGGATTTTTATTGACTTCAAAGGAACAGATTTTTCTGCCTGTCCCTTACTTGATTTCTGTATTTTGTTGGCTTAATAAAGCCAACTTAAATAAACTTTTTGCCAAGTCCATTTATTCTTCCCTGACAGACGGCTGAGGGAGGCAACTTCCCTCGAATAAAAAGAAAAAAAATGCTGAAATCAGATTTACCAACATGTGTTTTTTCTTTAGTCTTCAGTTATTAGATAGTTGTGAATTCATATCCCAAGAAATAAAACAATAAAACACACTGCGAAGTAAAACAGATGTGTCTGCTCTCCAAATTGGGCACTTTAGTCTTAAAATGCCTCTTGACAGCATCGCACAACTGTTGCTAATAAAGGAAGAGTTGGAAGTAATGGAACCAGAGTTAATTTTTCACATGTAGTCGGCACTTAAAATACAAAGAGCATTTTCACATTTGAGAAAGTGCGATAAATATAGTGTATAGAAATGTTATTGAAAATTTAAAAAGACAACAGAATTTTATAGATGTCATATTCAAAGGTTTATAATGCCAAGGCTAGACCCTGTGTGGTTTCTTTATTAACCACAATAAAGAGGAACATTCCAGTCAAGGAAGTTTGCGTCTGTCACCCCAGAGCAGTTTTTAGACAGTCAGGAGATAGCACGAGTCTGCTTGCTGTCATCTCCCATATTATTCAGTTTTATGACAAGATCTCAGTCTTTTCAACTAGTACATTTGATCAGTCATTAAATAGAAACTGGGGTAATACTTGAGTAAGAAATCTTATGGCGTCTCAGTGATAAAATATTTAGAAAGAGTCCTCTCACTTCAGTGGTATTTAAAATTAGTGGGGGAACTGCATTACATTTGATGATGTGCACATGAACCATGATCCACCTTTTATTCTCAACCCGTTTATCTTGCCTTATAATCATTTTTCAAAATTACTAAATTCTCTGCCTGTCGATAGGGAATGGGGAGTGAGTCTAAAAGGCTCTCAACCTGTGTACCTTACAAATTATCTTCTTGAACCTCATCACATCCTCCTTCCTTGTTTGAGCATGCTGTTAGGGGGGACAGGTGTAGGGCACCAGGGAGCCACCAGCTAAGGTGTGCTAAAACCCTAGTGATTCGTGTAAGGAAGAGAGGATAGCATGGGTTTCCGGTCGAGGTAAATTAAGTTTGGGTCAAGAATTCATTTTTAAAGAAAGAGGAAAAGTGGAACTAATTGTAAAATACAGGTGGCTTTTAATTTATGAGTGGAAAACCTTTATTTCAACTTTATTGACTTATATATAGATAATCAGCCTTTAGATTTCCAGGCTTCCCTCCAGACACCTATTCTACCTATGATTGAGAATGAAATCATATAGGGTCACACATGAAAGCCCAGTCCAAGTCCAAATCCAGGTATCTGCTGACCCAGACCCTTATAAGTCTTGAGCCCCCTAAGCCTGAAGCCAGATAAGTTCTAGTCCCAGCGCAACCTTGAGCTTCCTTCCTGCTGAAGAAAAATAAGGATTTGGAGGGATGATTAGAAGCCAGAGACACTGTAGAAAGAGGGCTACAGCAATATTCTCATGTAAGAGATGAAATAGCCATTTCTTTATTGGTGCATTATAGTCGTACATAATGGTGGGATCCGTTATTACACATGATGTTGGCCATATCATTCCCCAGTATTTTCCCCTTCCCTTCCCTCCCCCTCTCCCTGGTCCTTTTTCTCTACTGATCAACCTTTGATTTTCCTGAGATGCCCCCCACCCACTTTTGGTTTTGTTTGTCCTTTCTAGCTTCCACTTATAAGGAGGAAAAATATTGCTTGACATTTTATAAGTTTGTGTGTTATAGCACTTAATGTTCTCTCTCACCCATTTTTCTGCAAATGACATAATTTTGTCCTTCTTTATGGCTGAATAAAACAACGTTTTACATATATCACATTTTGAAGTAGCCTTTTCCAGATTGATTTGGTGAGAAGCGGTAGGATGTGATCCTGAGTAGGTGCAGTGTTCTAAGACCAAAAGAACAGTCAACTTGAAAATGTGAAGGCGAAAGAGAAGAAGATGAGTTGGGCGAGCCAGGCATAGTGGGGCATGTCTGTAATGCCAACTACTGGGGAGGCTAAGACAGGAGAATTGCAAAGCCAGGACTAAGCCTGCCTGGGCTACTTTGTCAGACCCTATCTCAAAATTTAAACAGGGCTGGGGATGCAGCTCAGTGGTAGAGCACACACCTAGTGTGTGCAAGGCCTTGAGTTCAGTCCCCAGTGCTGTAAAAAGATGAGTTGGGGTAACAATTAACAGATGAATATGGTATAAGGAAGGAGCAAATGCAGCTAGAGAGGTAAGTCAGAGGCTGGCACAGAAGAGCAGACTCCAGACACATTCAGCAAATTCCCATTGAGCCATATCCATGTGCCAGACATTGAGGTAGCCACTGGGGTATAGTGTCAGCAAAAGTAGGTGTCATGGCTTTTATTCTGTAGCCAACTGGGAAGCAATGCAGAGCTGTTAAAACAGGGGTGAGGTGGGTAGTTTGGGTTGATTTGATTTTCTTATAGCCATGTGGAAAGAGGTGGTTTTACCCCCGGGGGTGGAAAGGAGATCACGGGTATAAACCAGTTATAAGTTGTCAGAGGTCATGACAGAGTTTAAATACAGAGGACTAGGGTAAGTCTTGAATTTCTGGGTGTTTAGTCCCAAGAATCAGTAGCTGATCATAGTTGTAATACATTCTTAAAATCTTGCTAAGTTACCCTATTTTGTTGCCAAACTATGAGATAATATATTTTGCACCCATTGATAACTTGGCAGAAAAGGAAATATTCTAAGTTGGCCAGTTAAAATTGATGACCCAAGAAAAGCCAAAATAAAAATTTTAATGTTCATACTACCACCTTCTTTTAACAAGAAATCAAAGTGAATGATGAAAGTAAATTGACTGTCACCCATCAGTGTAGAAATAAATTCTACAGAGTAAGTATAGGTGTTCACGAGCCTCGGTATCATGGATGCATTTTAGATGAGTAGAAATCCTATGAAATATTACCTTCTCAAGACAAGGACAGAAATGGAAAGTGGTCACTAGGTTTTTACCTGTGGTATCCTGAACAATGTCATTACATGTTGAAGCCCATCAGGAATATTAATATAGCTTGGGTCCTCAAAGCAATAAGTGCCCAGAATTGTCAACTAAGTTGTTAGTCTGGCCTATAGAGTCCCCTAGCCTGGAGATTCAGTGGCTGGACATTATGACTTTTGTTGTATCCCAGGTGGCAAAAGAAAGAAATAGAAACGTATGATATCCTATTTCCCTTAGTGAGTATCCTTGAATTGTTGTAAACTATTCTCTTTGAAATACTTTTATAAGCACTTTTTATGTTTAGCAGAGTTACAAAGACTGTTATTCTCTTCAAGGGTATTTACCAAACCTCAAAACTGGGTAATATTTACTTCAAGTCTCTTTTGCTACTGGAAGGGTCTGTTCTGCTTTGTAAATGTTTCTGTGCTCCATTGCTTTAGACTCAGGTCCCACTGAGGTTAGAAATTGTCCTTCATGTTTTCCTTGTACACCAGGTTTCTAGAATATTCCTTGGTACATAGAAGGACCTAAAAAATATTTACTGATATGATACATGAATAAATAGACTTATTTAAACTCAGAGCAAAGCCTTTACCAAAATATTTGTGATTGATAATAGGAGATTAATTTAGTCAAAAAGTCACAGCTCAAGTGCAGGTTAGTTCTCTGACACAACTTTTTTCAGAGGGCTCTCTAAAAAATGTCTTCTCAAAATTAAATCATTTCTGCTTTTTCCAGGTTAGGAGAGCAGATGTTTATTCATAAGCTCTTTTTGAAAAGCTAACTTTAGAAAGAAAGAATGTGAATGACGAAAGGTAGCTATGTATGGCATGCATTTCTGTGGCAAGCAAATGCAAGACCAGAAACTTTCAGCCCCTGCTAAGGAAAGGTGGTCAAGGCACAGTGTACAATTTCTCCACGGCATTAATAAGAGCCCTGTTTCCAGTAAACCTCATGGAGAAAATCGTATCTTTGTTCATCATAGTAGTCCTTTGCTTCATACCAAATTTTGATAATCTGGTTGTGGCCTTTGATTGTACCATCACATGACCCCAGCCAATGTCCCACCGAAGACAGTTTGTGCTCATCTCAGAGAACCACTCTAAAGATCCTGGCAGAAAGGCTATCTGCTGTTGGATGCCCTTACTTGCCTGCTACCTGAGTCCTTTCTAAGGAGAATCACTGGATAGGCAAAGAGCACCAATCACTGGATATGCAATGTAAGCGCCCTGCTGAGAGCTGTTTGCTTCCTCCCCAGGTCTGTTTTGGGCTAGTTTCAGACCACAACACCTCCATGTTGAAGGAGTTAGGCCCGTTATCTTAAATAGAAACGGCAGC